AGCAATCGGTTTAAAAACAGAATTTCAAAATATTTTATGAATCAGATTTTCAGATTCAATTAAGCAGATATGGTTTTTTTGTACTCTTTTCATTTTACTCTTATTGAATATAAAATATTTTAGGTACCAATATTCAAAATTTAACTTACACTAAGTTCTTTAGAAAAAAAATTGAACAGAAATAAAAATAAAACCAGCAAAAACGAAACGTATAGATTAACTAGACGCGTGACGCCAAAATCCCGGCACATGGGAAAAAAGAAACATGTAACGTCAACCGCGATATAATTTTTGAAATATAGTAGGTATACCTAATTTTATTTTCCATGTACAAGATTTTTGAGGGTTTAAACTTTAAATCCAACCTTGGCCTAATCTTGGTAACGTAACTAAACTAACTGTAAAATAAAACTTTGAAAATGCGTTTATATAATAATTTACTATTAACGAAATAAATATAAAGTTATTTTACCGATGATACGATATCCCATGTTCCTATTTAATCTTTGTATCGTAATTTTTGCACACTATTACCACGCAACTAGACATATTTATGACAGGCAAATCTGTCTTGCGCGCGCACCACTGTCGACCGAGTCGCGTTGGCCCTAAACTGTAATTTTAGGGCCAGCGCACTGGTCCGTTTTGGTTGTTCGGTCGGCATGGTCCTTACGCTAGTATATATAAGTCAATGGTTGTCACGTGTTGTGTTGATTTAAAAAAATCTGTTGATAAATATATGCCGTCGTGTGTACTTAGATATTGCACAAATAATTCAAGAAATTTCAATAAAAACCAAGGAATTACTTTTCATCGGTTAATAAGATACTTAATCAATAAAAAAGTATTATATATTAAATAATAAAACAAATCCCTAAGACGCCATCTCGTGTCATGAAATATAGATTATGAAATTAATATGTTCAGATGCGACATTTCTGTAGGTACTTAAGTATAGGACGAATATATTACTATACACATTTTTTTTGTAGGAACATATATAAGTTATTATAACTTGGCAAAATTTTTCATGTTTAAATCTGCTTATTAATCTTTTATTTTATTTTTAGGTTTCCACATCAAAGTCAAAGTGGAATAAATTCGTCCATTTTTAACTCTCGCGTGCCCAGCATTTATGAACGACTCTTATTCTAATTTAAATAAATATATTTGTAATTTAAATGTTATGTTAATAAGTTTTGTGAAACACACATTTAGTATGTTTTTTATATTTAACATAAATACCTTTTAAAATATTCAGATAAAAATATCATTAAAATGTAATTGTGATATAATATTATGTAATATTATATTAAATAAGCAAATATAATATACAAAATAAATGACATGTTCTCGATATAATTTAACTATTTAACAATACAATCTACTATTACCTACGGATCGTTCTACCTATGTTTATTCTATGATAAAAAAACAACCGCGCGAACACAGAGTAGCGCACATTTTTTTTTTGAGATAGCTGTTCTAGTACGTAAGTACATATTACTTCAATGCTTGTCACCCTTTTCCTATAAAATAAAAAACAAAGATTTAAATTTAGACTAAGGCCTTTCGAATAGTCGAATACACTTCACACAAAAGTCCAAGTACCTACGTATTTTTATCGCTCCACACTTTTAAGGGGTAAATATGAATAGATTTTGTAAAGTTCCAAAATATGCTATCCGTAATTGTCATATCGTTTTAAGGCTATTCTCACCACCATAGAAGTTAAAAAAAATACATACTTTGCACCCTTGTTTTAACAATTTATGAATATTATAACGCGTATTTCATAATTTTAAAACAAATTTGAGCACCTTAAGGTCTTCCTATCATACATAGGCTTTTTTGAAAAATTGCAAAATACGTGTTTCTTTATTTTATTCCCAAAATAATCCCTTAATCAGATCAGACTTTCGAGTCAATCTTTCCATAAAATAAAATAGACATCATACAAACTGTGACAGCTATTTCACCTTATTAGCGGTTGAATTTTTCATAATCCTTACATAGTGGATATCTACTTCATAAAAGGCAACTGTCCTAATATCAGATTTCTACGTGTAGCGGTTTGCGTTAATAGATACCAAAATTATATTATTAAATTTATGCTATTATGCTAAATCAAAATATTTTATAAATTAATATTAATATATAAAATATTATAACGCTAGCCCACGACTGCGCTCGTACAGAATTCTCGTCAGTAATTTATTCGTTTTAAATTTTCATTATTTAAAATCAATAACTGTCATATATAAAATAGAACTAAATTGTATAATGTCTGTAATATCGAAATAATAGCCTTTTATTGATCCGATTTGCATGCCATTAAGACATTTATTTGTATGTCAGATAGACGAGTATGGAACAGATACAGAGCAATGTCATGAGTGATTTAGGCAATATTTTATCTGGAAATCTTGAAGGGTTTTTGGAAAATTGGTAAAATAAATGATCCTTGATGATTATTATAAATCTAAATAACGCCACACTACTAAAATTTATACGAAGCCGGGGCGCATCCTAGTGATCCTCTTAAAATCCTAGTGATACACTTAAAATTGTTAAAATCAACACGTAGAATAATAATATATTCCAATATCTTTATACAAAAAATAGTTGCTATGTGAGCTCACTTCCAGAAGGCTAACACTAGAAACTAAAAATGTTTTTATATTACATTTTTATATGAATAGAATAACAACAATTTCTTTTTATAGAATATGAGTAACAAACGAGCACACAGTTTACCTGATGGTAAGTGGATGCTGTGGCCCATAGACTATAGACATATAGATTAAGAATCAAAATGCAGATTCGTTACCACCCCTGAGGACTAAGATGGAATGTCTCGTTACCACCCAGTAAAAAGGGTCCCCGGTTCTCTACACTCATCATACGAAACACAGCAGCGTTTAACTGATGTTTTACGCTGGTATTCTGTGAGAGCGTGGCACTTCTTCGGTCGAGCCGACCCATTTGTGCGAGAACCATAAAAATATAACTGCAACATGGCTCTACCACGTGTAATGTTTTTATTAAGCAAAATTCGTACCACATTCTTAAATTTAAAAATCTCGAGTCTTTGTTACGATCCATTTTATTATACTGCACTAAGTTGAAACTGTTATTACCGAAATACCGATATCATTGGTATTGCTAGTGTTTCCTTAATAAGTTTTGTCTTCAAAAATAATATTCTTTTGGTTTCTTCTACATACATTTGGTGTTTAAGGGTAGCATATTAATGTAGGACATGCTTAGTTTTGCAATTTTTAAATTTTTGAACAATTTTGTTGGCGGCCCATATATAGGGTTTTGTTAATTTATTTCAGAGTAAGCACGGTTGTTTATCTGTAACGGACATGTGTCAGTCCTGAATGATTTGTTCATTTGACCAGGGTCACATCACAGTATTGATGATTGCAATTACATTGTTTGAACGTTCCGATTCAAACGATTGACAGGACCTACGATCAAAGAGTACAGTAATGTCCTACGAACGACATTAGCTGAACGGGTCTCACAGATCACACAGTGCTGAAACTCGAAATAATCCACTTGAATGATCGACCCGAATGATCCGGATCGTAACACGAATCAATACTTGAATGATCGGATCACTAGAAATGAACGATTGACACATGTCACAATTTGTAAGTTGAGTAGCTGACGCCGTTAGCGTTACCGTTACAGCCTATTAAAGTGCACTGCTGAATATAGCGGCCACGCTTGGCAAGCGGGTTGGCTGCCACAGTTTATTATTTTTAGTCGTTATTAGATAGACGCCGCTGCTCATCTCCTGGTTTGTTTCACGGGATGATATGGGATAGTGGATACTCTTACATCGACACTACATGAAAGCTGACATCATTACTAAATTGCGACATCATTTAATAACGGTTTGCATTTAGCAATGTCTTAAAACTCGACCAGAAAATGATTTTAAGTTACATTGGATATTCGTTTTTAAATAATTGTTTTTTGAATAAAAATTAGTAATACGCCTTTTTTATATTACTACATTGTAATTCTAAGCTACGTTCACAATTTAAATGCTCTAGTTCATTTGAGGTTAGTTTAAAATCAATTACTAAATGCTACTCGAACAGGCATACATGAAAGCGAGTTATAAAAACGTGGTAAAATATACAAATGAGATGATTATATGACTATGAAAATTATGACGTCATCACAATATATTCTCATATATAATTTCTTCGTTTTGACAGCTGTTAAAAAGTAACAAAAAAGTAAAAGAAAACAATTGACTAGTGTCAAATACCTAAATGTTTATTGAACCCAACAAATTAGAAAGAAAAAAGAAAAAGAAAAAAGTGTAAGTTGTTCGTATGTTGGAGCTGTATTTCGTATTATATGTAATATGTATAATGAGTCGTAGAAAAATTCCGCTTATTTTGAAATAAAGAAAAAATACTTCAGGATAACTTATAAATTTGACAGACTATGAACACAAAATATACGAGTACATAACTGAAATAACTATTATAATACTCTAAGTTACGTAAGATATACAGTCCCATCTAAAACAGACAAACGTCAACTCTGAAAACTACATAATTACTAAATTACAATCAGCAGCAAGTTATGTACCATAACATTTTAAGTTCTTTTTCTTAGTTTTTCTAGGATTTTCCCGTGTATCATAGAGGCTGTTTACATATATAAATAATCATAAAGATAAATCCATAACCGGAACGATTATTTGTATGCCATACAAATAATCGTTCCGTGCGGGATTCGTACTCGTGGCCCTTAGCACTGAGCCACTGCGCCACGGAGATGTTTATTGTTCGATTATTTCAAAGTTTGAAGTCAGTTTCATTATTCTACCATAACGGTTCTGGTTTTGTTCGACACATAGCGAGGCACACGTCGGTCACGCCGGGCACGTTTGTCACGCCGGGCACGTATGTCACGCTGGGCACGTTGGTCACGCCGGGCATATGTGTCCCAGCGGCTGCGGGCCCGCATCACAAGTGCACGTGGTCCAGGTCGGAGGCGGAGGGCGGCAGGTCGGCAGACAGCAGCAGCGTGCCGATGGGCACGACGGCGGCGTCGCGCTCGCGCAGCTTGCGCATCTCGTGCCGCAACTTCTCGAGCACGGCGTAGTTGGGCTCGTTCTGCTGCGCCTTGTCCTGCAGCAGCGTGATCTGCTGCTCCTCCAGCTTCTTCTCCTTGCAGCTCTTCACGGACCGCGACCCGTACAGCCGCAGCAGCGAGCCCCACGAACGGACATGCGGATGCAGCGCCTGATAACGAACGCGTTATTTATTTATTCCGAACATGTTACTCAAATCGTACGCAGTTGACTGGTGAAGAACATCATCATTATTTTTATTATCATCCGCCCTGAACAAGTACACTGCTGCCGCAAGAAATGCCACAAAACACGGTCCATAGGAATAGAAAATGCGATAAGGAATTAAATTCGCGCTTTCTTGTATGAGACGGATGAAATAAATTGAGAACAAACACTGGCCAATTTTTAAAATATTAACTTACTATATGTGTATGTAAAAAATTCTAAATTCACGTCTTGTGAATATTCTTAAGGTATCGCCACGAAACTGCAAGCTTTCAACTTCTATAAATGTTGAAGTTATGCAGTTTGGTGCCGTACACAACATATTTACATAATTATCCTTTAATATAAAATAAAAGCCCACTTCCATGAGCTAAAAATAATATTTTCTTGATTGTTTTATAAACTAAGTGTTAGCATCGACTTCTGAAGACAATATGTGGAAATTATTATAATCTTTATAGTTCTTTGACCCCAACTTTTACTCTTAAAAAAAAAGTTTAAAAAAACTTTTGTTAATGAGTACTGTGACGAGTATTTGATGTAGAACTCACTTGAAGTATCGACTGTGAGGCGCGTTGCTTGGCCGATTTCTTATTCTTACAGACTACAGTTGCACTGTGCTTGCCAACCTTCATCGTCAACTCAATCTTTTGGTAATCCAGTTTTTTCATCTGCAACAAACATTATCAGTCTTCAACAGTCCACTTTTAACCTATCAAACCTCTAGCGGTCGCATGCGACCGCGCCCATATTCCGTCAAATATCTAGCGGTCTCATAAGACCGCACCCACCCAAAGCACTTTAACCCATAAAAACTTATATCTACAGACTACTTTTCTATAAAGAAGTTTGGCATTAAAGGCTCAATGTGAAATTTTCTATCCTCTAATGCAATAAAAAGTTACTAGCTACGTTCATTTTGTACGCCTATTTCGTAGGCTGTAGTAAGGTGTGTTGATTTTTGGATTTTTCTAATGTTTTATTAGAGTTAAGTATATAGATATAGTATATAGTAGTGTTTTATTATATAATTGTATAAAAGTTTTTGTGTGAATATAATTTATATTTTTACGTAAATAATTTCGAGTAATATATATTGAAATAATTATGATATTCAAGCTGCCGTTCTGTGCTGGGTACGTACATTTTTAACTATTAAAATACAATTGAAATCTATTTGTAATGAAGTAAAAGCACAAAAACAAGTAATATAACATGATAAATAAACAGAAACAAGTAATATATTGAAATTTATAATGAATATTATAGAAAATAAATGTACGACAAATGCAAGGTTAGGTTATTTTTAGCCACATCGCGTCACGAGTAGCGAGCGAGCAATGTTAATCATTTTAGCTGGCGGCTGATCGGTCAAACATGATCGAATCATTGGATTTGTTGAACATACACCAAAGTGCAATTGTGCCATGCTGCAGTTATATCAGTAGTATAGTTGCAGCACGAATGGGTCGGCTCGACCGGGGAAGGACCACGCTCTCACAGAATACCAGCGTAAAATAGTAGCTTAATGCTGCTGTGTTTCGTATGATGAGTGTAGAGAACCGGAGACCGTTTTTACTGGAAACGAGGCATTTCATCTTAGTCCTCACGGGTGACAACGCATCTGCATTTTGATTCGTAATGGAATATAGATGTAGATATCTATAGGCAACAGCAACCACATACCATCAGGTGGACTGTGTGCTCGTTTGTAACCCTATCCTATAAAAAAAAACAGAGTGGATTAGTAGTGCCACTACGTGATTTTTCCATAACTGATAAAAAAATTCAAAAAAGTTAAACAAAATGGCAAGACTAAGAAACAGAGGCATAAAGCGAAAGGGAAACAATATTCATTCAAAAAACAATATATAAAATGTGAATAGCCTATCACAACTGGTACCTGTCTGTTGTTATTTGATATGTTCGGCCGTGCGTGTGTGTGGGTATACATGCGGTACTTCAGCGTGTATGTGCACGTGTGCGCAAAATGTGTGTCCTGCCGCACGCCATCCAATGCATATTGGATGGGCGAGGGCTCGCACATGTCCGTGTGTGTACGCACATGTCCGTGTGTGTGTGTGTGTGTTGTGTGTGTGTGTGTGTGTGTGTGTGTGTGTGTACGTACGGGTGTGTGTGTGTGTGTGTGTGTGTGTGTGTGTGTGTGTGTGTGTGTGTGTGTGTGTGTGTGTGCGTGCGTGTTATGTATATGTATATACTTGTGTGTGCGTGCGGTACCTCGGTGTGTATGTGGCGGTCGCCGGCGCCGAAGTTGCGCAGCAGGCAGGTGCGCAGAATGGCGTGCGGCGAGGGCTCGCACGTAGTCGCGCAGAACTCCGAGATGCGCGGGTCCTCGATGCTCAAGTAGTCGAAGAACTGCAACACTCACTTTATTTTATTTCTAGAAATCACTTTTCTCGAACATGACATAATTATAATGAATGAAATAAAAAGTTTTGCGTTTTAGTCAACTAGAACACTGTAGATAAATTAAGGAAACATATCACAGCTATGAAAATGCAAAATAAAAAATACGAATGGATTCAATAGAACATAATATTGATGTGTTAAGGTGAAATATAATCTTAAATGGCTTAGCAAGATCCTTCGTTATACCGAAAATATTGCAGCATTAATTTTGAAATAAATATATGGTAAAGTTGAGGATTAATGTTAAGGATTATGTTAGACGAAAACACGATTTCGTAAAATTTTTTCGATAGAAAAAAATCCAAAGTTACCTCCAAAATAAACAATAAACCGCTGTTATTCATAAAATACTTTAAATAAGATCATCAAACTTTGCATACTAACTGAACTAACTATAAAGCAGTGCTTATTTTATTTACTTTTTTTTAAAATTCCATTATTTTCACTGTAAAAAGAAATTACCTAAACTATCGGCCTTTTGAAGCGTGATTCCTGCCGCCCGGTCACTTCGCTTCGGCCTTTGAATGGGGAGGTTGTGTCGCTTACGATCAGAATATACATTACGCAACAAGACGACGTAAAAATAAAACGGGAAATATCCGTAATAAAAATAAGAAGCGACTGGCTTGGCGTTAAGAAACAGGCATAAATATGATAAACCTAATGAAATAAGTGTCTAACGACCTTTCTACTTACATTATTAGTGATTACAAACTTGTCGGTACATAGCATACGACGCGCGGGCAAGTGGGGACGAAATTAGAATTTGAGCTGACTTACTATATCCCCTTAATGTTGTCAAGAATGTACTCATAAGGTTAACATGAAATTTCCTAATGACGTTAAGCTATGCGGGCGTGTAAATTTGTAGCAAATTCTTCCTACAACGGGAGAGTTCTAGCGAGGTAGGATGAATCTACTTTTAAGGGGCAATGTGTGTGAAGTGTGAACACGGTACGCGCTCACGGTGAAATCTGGTTCGCTCTGTCCGGGCGCGGATTCGAGCTGGTCTCGCATCTCAGGTATGAGGATGTGTATGTGTGCGTATGTGTGCGTACGTGTGTGCGTGCGTGATTGTATACACGGGACGCACTCACGGTGAAGTCCGGCTCGCTCTGTTCGGGCGTGGGCTCGAGCTGGTCTCGCATCTCGGGTATGAGGATGTGTATGTGTGCGTATGCGTGTGCGTGCGTGTGTGTGCACACGGGACGCACTCACGGTGAAGTCCGGCTCGCTCTGTGAGGGCGTGGGCTCGAGCTGGTCTCGCATCTCGGGTATGAGGATGTGTATGTGTGCGTATGCGTGTGTGTGCGTGTGTGTGTACACGGGACGCACTCACGGTGAAGTCCGGCTCGCTCTGTGAGAGCGTGGGCTCGAAATGGTCTCGCATCTCGGGTATGAGGATGTGTATGTGTGCGTATGCGTGTGCGTGCGTGTGTGTGTACACGGGACGCACTCACGGTGAAGTCCGGCTCGTTCTGTTCGGGCGTGGGCTCGAGCTGGTCTTTCATCTCGGGTATGAGGATGTGTATGGAGGCGCGCGCGGCTGCAGACTTGGCCTGCCGCTTGCTAGTGCCGAAGCCCACGCCATACTGCATGCCGCCGATGTACACAGTCGCCTGGTACGGCGTCGCCGCATTCTCTGCCAATGGTACACGTGGGTTAAATCCATAAGTCATCCCTAAGTCGACAGAGCTAGAGAAGCCAGCATGAAATTCAACTAGCATCATAATCGGATCTGACTTCCGACAAGTGGGCACGTGCCATGAAAGCTATTATACAGGGTATTTTGTAGCGAGTTAAGAAAAAGCCGTTAAGAAAAGAGAGCCGTTGTAGTTCAGATGGTTAACGCTCGCTGTAAATATAACAGAATGCGAGTAACCCGGGTTCGATCCCCGCCGGCACCAATGAAATTGTTAATTGCAGTTTTAAGTGCTGATTTACCACGTGCTCGGCGGTGAAGGAAAACATCGTGAGGAAACCTGCATGTCTGAGGAATAAGAAAAAAAATATTTCGAAGACATGTGAAGTTCGTCAACACGCATTTGGGCAGCGCGGCGGACATTTCCTTGCCCTAAACCCTCTCAGAAATGAGGAGAGGCCTGAGCCCAGCAGTGGGACGTATATAGGCTGTAACTTTACTTTACTTTACGTTTTTTAAGAAAAAGCAACGCTGGAAAGAGACTCGAACAGGTATCGCATGGTCCTCCCAAAATTTGGTCCGTATAACCAAATGACCAGCAAAACCACATTGGAAGGGTTGCGCCGTGTAGTGGCGACGTAAGACAGTCCACTACCCTATATCATCTCGTGGGTTTCGTAAGAGGCGAGAGGTAAATAGTACTAGATACGGGCAGCAGTAAACATGTGTAACACCGCGCCACGTCGCGCATTTGCGCCAACTCAGTTCACGGCGTCGATGTTAATACATTACATTAACTCACTTGTTCAAAATATATTGGCGCACAACGCATTTTATTTTTTATTTAATTTTTTTATTAATAGGAAAAGGGTGACAAGCGAGCACACAGTCCACCTGATCGCGAATCAAAATGAAGATGCGTTGTCAGCCTTGAGGACTAAGATGGAATGCTTCGTTTCCAGTAAAAAGGGTCTCCGGTTCTCTACACTCACCATACGAAACACAACAGTATTAAACTGCTATTTGACGCAGAATAACAATTCTGTGAGAGCGTGGTCCTTCCCCGGTCGTGTCGACCTATTCGTGCTATAACTATACAATTAATATAGCTGCAGCATGGCTCTACCACGTAAAAAAGGTGTAAGATGTTGTTAAGACTGTGGAGTGAACAACGAAAAAACGATCTCATTCAATTCATTCAACAATGAGCCAACGCAGTTCGCGCACCTCACGTATGAGCTAAGAACCTGCGAGCACGGCGTGCAGATCACGTGCGCTTCCCTGATCACTAGGCGAGTTCCATTTTGTTGTGCCATGGCGCAATTTATAGTTAACGCAATGAGTCGGCACAGTAAATTGCACCTGAGTTACTAGAGTTACTGAGTTAACACAAGGAATTTCGTTGTGTTACCCATGCCTAGGCAGCAGCATCTTTCTGAAAACAATCCAAAATAATATAACATCGCCAAGTGTGACAACTATAGCAAATTTTCCATTATAAGGAAGTCTATGGTGGCGGCCTATATGCGGCAGTGGACTTTGCTGGTCCGTAATGATGAGAGGTGTCGCGTTTGGTATACAGAGCGGCACTATCTGATATTCTATCAATGCCTGAAGAATTCTAGAAAAACGACTATTAAATAATTAAATATCATTAATTATGAATAATATATATTTATCTCACCCAGCTGCTTAAATTCGTAGACGGGCTGCTTCTGTAGAGCCCGATACACGTACTCGTGAAATACGGACAAGTAACAACGACCATTCATATTCATCACCCAGTCCTTCTTGGCTGCTTTGCCACCTGTAATCAATTGATATTTTACTTAATTACTGACATACTATCATGTTCCTTCTATACTATAAGCTTCAGTGCCTCGTTGGTCTAATGGTTGTAGCAGTAAGACTGCTGATCGTGAGGTCCTGGGTTCGAATCCCGGGTCGGGCCAAAAAATTTATTATTTTTTCCATCAAGAAATTCTCAGTAGTTGCCCGGAGTCAGGAAGTTGGCGGTGTCTCACCACCGTGCCTCGGAAAGCACGTAAAGCCGTTGGTCCTACGCTTGATCTCTCTCCGGTCGTGTCGGTTTACCGTCCCATCGGATTATGAGAGTGAGGGAATAGCACTATAATCCTGTCCTGCGCTGATGGCTAGCCTCCGTTGAGGGTGGCCGCCGTGGCCGAAATTCGGTCTGGAGGACATTATTATAAGCTTCAGTGAGCAAGGAAATGGATTTTAATATACCAGTAACGGTAAAATAGTTTTCATTTCAATATCCTTACCATTCTCTTGTCCTGTTGCCGGCTGAGCTGGAATTGTAATGAGTTTCGTTCCCTCTGGCAGCGTCGGATACTGCAACGTCTTCCTGGCTTTGGTATACTTACGCCGATCCGCCCAGCGACTATATTACCAAAAGAAAACTTAATTATCATATGTTTAAAATAGTGAATGTATATTTTTTATGTAATTCATGATGGGCAAAAGACATCTACTCCTATCATCCTACATCTACTCTATCAAATAAAAATCAAAATGCAAATACGACGTCATCACCCTCCTGGATTGATATAGAATAAATTGTTAACAGTACTTCCCCAGTTCTCATGCAAAAAACAGCAGAACTATGCTGTTACTATATGCTCGTATTCCATGAGAGCGTAGTCGTAGTTAGTTTCTAAGTCAAGACCCATCACATTTTTCTCTTCATAACCATTATTTCTATATATTATATTACTCGAATATTACACATGGGATAAAACTGATTTTATGGATTTTATCGCGTTTAATTTTAACTTTTTTAATTCCCGACGTTTTGGGCACTTTACAGCACCCATGGTTACGGGGGAGGGGGAATGAGGTGTTGGAGGTCCCGATGTCATAGTTAACGAAGGCTACGTTGAACTTTTAATTATTAATTTTTGGTCCGATCTACGCAGAACGAGCTCACAGTATCTTGGAGTCTTGCAGTAGTATGCTTGGGTTTGGTTTTATTGTATTAATTATGGTATCCCAATCAGATAGCAGCACCCAAATATTCTCTCTATTGAAATTAGGATATGTTTTAATTTCAATAGCGTCATTTCAATCACATAATCTGTTCACATGAGTGTGAAAACACGATGTGAAGAATATACGCTCCGGGAAGTCTGCAATATGTCAACACGTTCAGGATCGTCCCAACCATTATGATCAGATTTGATAGTCCACAGATCCTCGCAAAAGAATACCGATTCCTACAAAGGATGACTCGCGAGGCTATTCGCAGTTAGGAATGTGCCCGAAACGCCGTTACTAAAAAGTTTTGCTGTCGCATGGATGGGCCGGCTCGAACCGGGGTGGAACCACGACGCCATAGAATACCAGAAGTAGAAGTTTACTTCTGCGTTTCGCGTTGTAAGTGAACACTACCCTAGGAGGTATACCAGCAGTACCACGCCCAGGCTACTCTACTCTTCCTGAGCGTGGGTGCTCAGGCTGCCCTGCGTATTCTGGGGGGAGTGCGAAACTCCGCTCAAGACGAAACCTGCTCGGGGCAAGCGGAACAATACGTGAAAGACAATCCCTGCCACGCTATCCGTGAATTTCTGCAACATCAGGGGTCTTCATTCAAACCTTCACGTTGTCCACTACCTACCTAGAGACGTCGAAGCCTCTCTCTTTCTAACCGAGACTCTCCCTCTCTCTCTCACTCACCCTCTGCGGCTGATACTTCGTATCTCTCCTACCCGGGGTACAAATTAAAATTTTCCTTTATGCCCCGGGTTTGAATTTAAGTATACATCAGAGAGGTCATCTGTTTTCCACGCTTCGGTAGTTTTGAAGGTACGGACCTATCCATACTATGGCTGCGCGTAGACGACGACGACAATCCCCGCGTGTACAGTCCCATACTAGTAACTCTATAGGTCCCATAGCAGCAATTCCGGCACAGATGAGCTCGTCGACCATGTCCAAATTGTCGACGAGCTCATCTGTGCCGGACACCTGGTCCCATTCGCAGAGTTCGTGATTCTCGGTGATTTTAGCGCCCGCCATGCTGAATTGAATAGTTCCCGTTTAATCAATCATGCGGGTAGATCAATTTATGACTTTGCCTTGGCATATAGTCTGACACATTGGTTAATTCGTCTAGGAATCTCAGATGTGGAGGATCTTGTACCTTCCCTGTTGGAACTTCTGCTGACATATCATCCGGACAGATATCAGGTCTCCGTCGATGCCTCTCTTGGCTCTCTGTATCATTGTCTGATCCGGAGTACGGTGCCACTCACGCTCCCATCGCGGTTGCGTTCTGTAGGTTGCGCCGTGTTTGGCACTATAGATCGGCTGATTGGGACAGGATGCGGCCTTTTTTGGCATACTACCCTTGGGAGCGGGTTTGCTTCTCGCCGGATGATCGTTGTTGATGAGGTAATTCAAGGAATGAAACTATTTATTCCATCATCAGTGGTGCCTGAACTAAGCCATGGATTGGTCACTCCTGTAAAATTGCATCACTAAACAGGAGTGCTACCGGGCCTAGGTTGACGCATCAACGTCTCGGGATGCAAACACTAGCTCTGAAATATAAGTATAATTCCGCTTTCAGGTCTTTCAAAAGTATCATTACTAAGGCAATGTATGTGCCAGAGCACATTGGCAGAATTGACGAGAAACTAGTTCGACTTCCTTCAGGAACACGTGCATTCTGCTCTTTCGCCAAGGCTGTCCTTCTGTCAGCCATCTCTACCATATCTGCACAGGGAGGACGACTCACATGGCGCAAAGGAGAACTCCACTCTCGACTCCCGATGGCGGGAACAACACACCACCGATCATCCGCGGTGTGAGTGCTCCATGCGGGATATGCTTCGCACTCCTCTCCCTGGACGTCAACAACTCAAGTGGGCCTGATGGCGATTCCCACCTATTGTGCTGAAGACCTGTGCTCCGGAGTTGGCAGCGGTTTTAACGCATCTTTTCCGGTACTCCTACACCCTAGGCGTAGTCCCGTGCTTATCGAAGAGAGTTATGGTGCATCCGATCCCTAAAAAAGGCGACCACTCAGATTTCTCCAACTACAGGCCTATCGCTTTCACCTCCTTGTTCTCCAAAATAATGAAAACAATTATTAACTGCCAGCTTATGAGGTATCTTGAGGATCACCAACTGTTTAGTAGTGACCGCCAGTACGGTTTCCGTCGGGGTCGCCTAGCTGGTGATCTTCTGGGTTACCTAACTCATAGATGGGCGAAGGCAGTAGAGTCGAAGTAGGAGGCGTCGGCCATTACTAACTAACTTAGCGAAGACCTTCGATCGAGTTTGGCACAAAGCACTTCTTTCGAAGTTTCCTTCCTATGGGCTTCCCGAGAAATTGTGCAATTGGATCACCAGTTTTCTTGCAGATCGGAGCATCAAGGTCGTAGTAGACGGTGCATGCTTCGACTACAAGCCCATTAACGCTGGTGTTCCACAAGGATGCGTGCTATCACCAACGCTGTTTCTTCTGCATATCAATGATATATTACAAACTGATAACATTCATTGCTATGCGGACGACAGCACTGGTAATATTTTATACAACGGCCGTGCCAATATTTCTTCGAGGAACGTCGCCGAGTATCGGAACAAACTCGTGTTTGAAGTCGACTTTCTTGAACAAGGAATGGGACTGGGGGCAACTAAATCTAGTTCAGTTCAATCCCCAGAAGACACATAGAGGACTAGTTAAGTATAAACTTCAGAAGACACAGGGATACGGGTTTACCGCTGAAAAGAATCCCTTTGTCGTATCTCCTGTTTCGGGGCACTTCCCTTGTTACCTCAGCTTGTATCGGAATCCCCTGCGTCGACATATCGAGCGACATACAGTTTCGTAGTCACTTGGAAGAGAAGGCCAAATTGGCCTCTAACGTTTCGCATACACCTAATCCGTCATCGGCCGAAGTTTGCTTGTAAAACAAAGAGAGCGCTTACACAAACACGACCGCCACCTTCCGATAACGCACGAAAACGGCCGATCAACCGTCGAGTCCGAACTTGTTGGGATTTCTCGCCCGAAAGCCGGCGTCTACAGTGCAAATTGAGTGTATTTATAGTTTAATTTAATCATTTTGTCTTTATGCTGTTGTTTCTGTCAGTGTTGTTATCTACCTAAACGACTGTGGATATTGAAAATAGAAAAATAGAAAAGAATGCGTCACAACGTAACGTCCAATGTCGGCACAAGTAGTACACTGTTGCAGTGTAAGCACATACACGTCCGAGTTACTCGTCCGGGTAGTTCTATCCGCTATCGGCCGACAAAATCGGTTTTGGTGTAAACGTACCGTAACAAGCTTGGCGTGCTCAATAGAATGAGATAGTATTTCATGCCGGCACCGCCTGCAGATTTACAAGGCGCAGGTTCGGCCTCACCTGAAATACTGTTCCCATCTCTAGGATAGATCTCCCCAGTGCCAGCTCCTTCCATTTTATCGCATCCAGCGCAGAGCGATTCGAATCGTCGGCGACCGAGCTCTTTCTGATCGGGTTGACTCACTTGCACTGCAAAGAGATGTTACATCTCTGCGTATTTTATCGCAACTACCATGTGGAGTGCTCTGAGGAATTGTTCGGACTATTACAGCCGCTTAATTTCACTATCGCACACCATCATACTATCTGGATGTTTGGCGGTCCACCACTGTGAAATTTTTTTCTTTTCCTCCTCACACAACTTCCTTGTGAAATTGACTACCACCAGAGATTTTTCCGGACCGATACGACCTAGGGGTCTTCAAGAAAAGAGCCTACCCTTTTATTAAAAGCCCAGCAACGTATCTGCAATTCCCCTGGAGTGTGTGTGCCCCCTCTACTATAAAAAAAGTTAAAATTAAACGCGACAAAATCTGTAAAATTTGTTTTATTCTAAATATAAGCATTTTTGTATAGTTATGCAATGGTAATAACCAATTAAGCGTATTTTAATACAGATTAGAAATAAACATACTTACTCATAAAAAATGAGTTAATTTAAGAAACTATTAAAAGTTGTTAAATGATTATGCAAAGAGACAGTGATAGAAATAATAATTAAATTAAGTAAAAAATAATGAAGTTTGATGATAATTATTCGTGAGAGTAAATGAAAAAGGAAAGGAAATTATAAGCAACAATTTCAAATTTATTTAATAGAATCAAGTGTTACTTTGGAAAAATACAAAAAAAAACAATAAATGGTTTCTTATATTTACGCGAACAGTACACATTGAAATAATACTAGTTTTTACGGATTTTATCGCGTATATTAAACTTTTTAATACCCGACGTTTCTAACGCTTTACAGCACTCATGGTCACGGGCGGGACTGAGATGTTCAACGTCCATATGTCATAGTTAACCGCGGTTACCATATATTAAAATTTAACTCTTGTTCCGATCTATGCAGTATGAACTTATGGTATCTTGAAGTCTTGCAGTTGTATGCTTGGGTTGGGATTTAATTTTATTTATTATAGGATCCCAAGCAGATGGTAGCACCCAGCCATCTTCTCTATTGAAATTAGGATGTTTTTTGATTTCAATAGCCTCGCGTATCATCCTTGGAAGGAATCGGTGTTCTTTAGCGAGAATTTGCGGTCTATCAAATCTGATGTAGTGACGGGGGGCGATCCTGTACGTGTTCACAGACTGCAGACTTCCCGGAGCGTCGATTCTTCACATCAGCTATATGTTCTTTAACGCGGGTTTTTATTGATCTTTTAGTTTGTCCTATGTAGGAGAGACCACATTCACAATCAAGCTTGTACACTCCTGCATCTTGCAGAGGGACATTACACTTGACTGATGGTAAAAACTGACCAATCTTCTTCAGCGGCTTGAAGTATGTTTAAAATTATAAAAAAACCAAACCCCACAAAAAAAAAAAAAAAAAAAAAAAAAACACAAACCAAAAAAAAAAACCAAAAAAAAAACACCCGAAAAAACCCCCCCCAAAAACCCCCCCCAAAAAACCCCCAAATAAAATTAAATCCCAACCCAAGCATACAACTGCAAGACTTCAAGATACCATAAGTTCATACTGCATAGATCGGAACAAGAGTTAAATTTTAATCTATGGTAACCGCGGTTAACTATGACATATGGACGTTGAACATCTCAGTCCCGCCCGTGACCATGAGTGCTGTAAAGCGTTCGAAACGTCGGGTATTTAAAAAGTTAAATATCACCGATAAATTCCGTAAAAACTAGTAATATTTCAAAAACAATAAAGGTTAGTAGTATTATAAATAATTTAAAAAAAATCAAATGAACTTACTTAAAATGCATAATGTTAACTGTTTTAAATTTAAACAGTTTCTTGCAATAATCATTGATTTGTTCCGGAGTCAAATGTTGGGTCTTCCAGCTATTGTTAATGGACTCTACTCGAGGTGGTGGCATTACAATACCTCCTGGAAGTACAACCGGCTGTATGTTTAATGGAATATCTTCGGTCCCTTTGCTGCCTTCTGGAGATTGATCATTGTTGGCTGACTCGGTATCGTGAGGGCCAGTTTTTTCTTCTGTGCCAGTATTGTCAGTTGGATCAGTATGACTAGAAGGGCAACTTGGTTGAGTTTTTTCTTCTGTACTTTTGTTGTCCTCTGGGACCGCCTGAATAAAAGTACAACTCAGTTGATTTTGTTCCTTATTACTTATATTGTCAGTTGAGTCCACCTGGCTAAATGGACAACTTGGTTGATTATGTTCTTCTATATTTATAGATGGCGCCACATGACTGTAAGGGCAACATTGTTGACTTTTTTCTTCTGTGCTCATACTTATATCATCGTTTTGACTATTTTCATTAGTTTCATTTTCTTCATTTATTTTAACACCACTTGTTGCAACTTTAATGGCCTGGGTTTTATCTTTGTTACCACTGGTTTCATACTCGCCTTGTTCCATATTCTCTATTTCAACTTTATTTTTTTCACAGGATACAACAATACTGCTTGTGTCTTCTTGTACATGTGGACTAGTATTTTGATTAGTTTCATTATTATTAGAATTCGTTTTAGAATTATCATTTCCTTGGCTGACATTATTCATCCAGGTCCCATTTCTTATTTGTTCCTGAATTTTTCGATCAATTTCCTTCTGCTTTTCTTCTTCTTCCAAAGCGCGTCTGTAAGACAGGCAGGGTATCGCACTAATGGGTATATCGTGTCTCTGGAATGCACATAAAACAGGATTTTACTCTTTTTCTATCCGTGTAAATATGCTATATTATAATATTAAACAAAAATATAAATTAAATTAAATAGTCTGTCTGTGATATCAATAAAATAACTGGAGCTTAGGAAGTTGTTTGTACGCTGTTAATACATGCTTAAAAAATTGTCTGTCTGTCTAGATTAATATTCGTAATGGCCGAACCAATTGTGATGAAACTTCAGAAACATATATTAATACCAAGACTGATATAGACTATATTTTATTCCAAAAGTTTGGAGATTTTTTTTTGAAATTTAATAATTAATAGAACGATTGTTGATGATCATGAATCTCAAAGACATAAATAACATTGACATATACTTAATAAATCAGGCGACATCTTGCAGAGATCTATTAGTAAGACACATAATTTTATTTTATAACGCAGATCTTAGTTAATTAGTTTTTAACATTTTTATTTAATAAATACCACGCAGGTATAGTCGGGCGAGTCGCTAGTAATAATATAAAGTCAGATACCCTCGTGTTTCCTTTGCCCAAGAAGTAAGGCCTGGAGAGCGTGCACACGCGCGTAGTCCGATGCATGTACACCGGCATGCCGCTGTAGTGTCGCACGGTCATCCAGTCTAACGGCAACACTTCGAAATGATTCACTCCTTTGTCTGTAACATTTCGTAACAACTGTCGCTATATTATAGTAAAAACTAAAAAACTAAGAATTCATTTAATTCTGGCCGTATGAGGAAGCTCAGTCGCTCGGCGAGCTGTGGAAAGTGCTATGATCTGGGTTTCTGCATGATAAACTTAGAAATATTTTTACTTATACCGGATTAGTAAGCTGAAGTGGCCGGCCATATAGCTCGAAGAACCGACAACCAATGGGGAAGAAAGGTCTTCGACCGGTAGACAAAGTGTAGGCAGGCCTCTGTCACTCTTGCTACCTGCGTGAAAAATAATTACCTAAAATCGCGACGCGCCCGGGCCAAATAACACAGGGCTAGCGCGTTGGAGGCGATTCAATCATTGAGTTATACAACACATAAATCAATGGATTCAATGTTAAAGTTTTTAACGTTGTTTACGTAAATAGTTTTATGTAAATACTTGTTGAAATAGTTTTTGTTTGGTGTTTAGTATATTTAACTGTAGATAAAAATAGTTGTAAAAGTTTTAATGTATTTTAAAAATTATATATTATGTATATTACCTATTTGATAAATTATAATAGCAAAACGTCGTTCCTACTATAACTGTAGCGTGGATGGATACTAAACGAAATGACGAACAAAAGGTTTCATATCATTCTATAAGTCACCAAAGAATTTTAGAAGGAAATTACTACATACTTACTACTACTACTAGTACATACATACTTACAGCAAAAAAAGAATTAAGTAATAAGTTTCTCTACAGAAGAAATACCTAAGTACTTTATTACAAAAATTAGTTAAAATTTACTTCACTATCCATCCATTTACTTACATACATACCTATACTTGTATTTTGTAATTAAAATATTTTAAGTTATAATAACACAAAATACTGAAATTAAAACTTTGTATACTAAGAAGATTTTTAAGTAAGTAGAATAGATCACATTTCTGTTAGGAATCGTATTTCAGGTTTATTTGTTGTTCACACTATCTACCTATTTCTTTCGAATCAAGCGTTGCGATTCCCTACGAATGACCTTGCAATCTGTATGCGTTAGGCATCGCAATACTCACATAGGGGCGAAAGTATGGTCAGTCGATCATAGTCAGAATAGGTACGTCACCTAAGTAACATAATTAACATTTCACAATGTATTTTTTTTTACTTTCTATTGATATCCCTTAATAACCACGGAAAGTCCGCCGTGAATTAGGAAGCGGAAAAGATGCAAAGTAATATGGACACTAACGCGCAGCGATAAAGTTTTATTTAGCTTGCGTGCGCGATTGATCTGATTAATAATAATTATGTAGGCTATTAAACGTCGGCAAGCAGTTGACATCAAAGGAGTGCAACTTCTGTACGTAGTACTATTATTTATTCTGTGGTGTAGGGCGAACCCCCCACCCCCCAACCCCCACTAGATAGAGTGACGACCTGGTAAGATATGCAGAACGTCATGGATGCAGGTGGCTCAGGACATTCCTTGGGGGAGGCCTATGTTCAGCAGTGGAGATATGAATTGCTGTAATGATGATGATGATGATGATAATGATGCAGGTTTATTATAGTTGCAGCACGCATGGGTCGACTTGACCGATGAAGGACCACGCTCTAAAAGTATACCAACAGCAGTGATCCGTTCATGCAGTTAGTTAGTTGGGCTACGAAAAAATTTGTGCGCTTACATACCTGCGTGCTTGCGCATGTGCGTGCTTAGGTGCGTGCGTGCACATATAACTAATTGTAAGGCATAACTATATAATATAAAACTACATATTTTTGCAGATTACCTTCCAGTACGATTTTCTGTCTGGTTACGTATGGTTTTTCTTTGGGTTTGGGCGCGCCTTTTAAATTATCAGGTAGATTTTCTTCGAGCATTCTTTCAATTTCCTCCTCGGGAACTCCTTCAGATTTGCCTATAAAAAGTTTAAGACTATTAAATTCTAAAAGATAAAATTTCTACTAATTATGTATTTTGTGAATTAATCACTATTTTATTGTTATTGGTGAATAAATAAAATATTTGCTTTGTCGAGACGACAATCAACAGCTATGTTATGTTCTAATAGATGGCGCTGTAGGTAAGTTGTCAACTGATTCTCTATTTATGAAACTCCTTGACTGCCTCGTTTGTCAAGTGATCATGGTTGCTGAACATGAGATCCCGGGTTTAAATCAAAATCAGTTCTTGGGTTTTTATGTCAATAAATTCTCAGTAGCAGCCCGTAGTCCCGTAGAAAAGCACCCAAAGCCATTTTTAGAGCAGTCAGTAGAAGGTCCAACAGGGAAGGTGCATTATCCTCCACACTTGGAATCCGCGTTGGCGAAGTAACTAGTTGTGTCAGACCATTATGCAGACTAGATTTCCCCATATGATCGGTTGAACGAGAACCGAGCCATTCAGTACGGTGAGGTGAGATATCACTATCTCTACAGATGGGTCCGTAGCCGTTTAGACATAGTCAATGAGTCGGTCTGTGTCGGCATTGCCGCGGGTATGGTCATCACTGTCTACACGCAGCCAAAAGATGGGCAGAACCTTCAAGACTGTCGAGTAGTCAAGAACAGATGTCCTCTCTGACATACACATAAAATCCGGCCCGAGGCACAAAAGATGTTCCAATTTGTACCCCAGGTAAGAAAGATAACGGGTGGGCCAGAAAGGAGTACGATTTTAAAAACACTCTTGCGTTTGAAGCTTTAGAGAGGGGACTGCGCGGGTGGTGGGGTTAAGTAGCTCGGTTCTCGGAAATTTAGTCGCGATGGATCACTTCACGGGAGCGCAACGTGCTTTCTGCGTTAAACATTATTATAAAAATCACGATTCGTGCGCTGTTGTTCGGCGTTTATTTCGACGTGAGTTTGGATTACATGACCTAAATCAGTGTCCGAAGGAAAGCGTGATTCGATCGTGGGTCAGAAAGTTCGAAGCTACTGGTTCGACTCTCAAACAGAAGCCTGCGGGACGCCCAAGGTCAACAAGAACGAAAGACACAATTGAACAAGTTAGAGCTTCAGTTCAACGTAATCCTGTTCTATCGACTCGAAAGCGTTCAGCCGAACTTTTGTGGTGTCCAGAACATCTTTGCGTCGCATTTTGTTGAAAGATCTGAAATTGCATCCGTATAAAATTCAACTTGTGCAGGAATTACAGCCAAATGATCCAATTTTAAGGAGAACTTTTGTTGAAACGATGATGGAACGCTTTCGGAGTTTCAACAATATTCTGTTCTCCGACGAAGCCCATTTTCACATAAATGGGCAGGTGAATAAACAGAATTGCCGTTACTGGGCTGCAGAGAACCCACGTGCAAAACATCAAAAGCCTCTACATTCGCCGAAAGTTACCGTTTGGGCGGCCATGTCAGCGCACGGAATTATCGGACCCCACTTCTTCGAAAATCGACAAGGCCAATCTGTCACTGTAAATTCTGACCGATACATAGCCATGTTAAGGGATTTTTTCTTTCCACAACTGCAACAATTTGAAGCCTATAATCGTGCGACATGGTTTCAACAAGATGGCGCGACATGCCACACAGCTAATGCCTCTTTGACGGTCGTAAACGAGATGTTTGGTGAGAAACTGATATCGCGCCGAGATGACATTGAATGGCCTCCTAGAAGTCCGGATCTTACACCACTGGACTTTTTTTGTGGGGATACCTAAAAAGTAGAGTCTACTCCAATAACCCAGCCACAATTGACCAGTTGAAGACCAATATCCGGAAAGAAATGGCAGATATTTCCCGTGCAATGTGCCAGCGAGTTTTTACCAATTTGAGGTTCAGATTCGAAGAATGTTTGCAGCGCGATGGTGCACATCTGGATGATGTTATTTTTAAGAAATGAATTTCCCAGATGTAAATTTTTGTAGAAATAAAAATTTGTATGTGAATTGTACTTAGTTTTTTTTTTTAATGATTTTTTCAAATTCGCAATTCTTTCTGGCCCACCCTGTATAAAGTATCTTCCAGAGAGGACATCTGTGTCTCGATTCGAAAGATCAAGGCTAGCTACGCCATCTACAGATGTTAGTGGATAGCGTTCGGGTGAAGTCCCCTGATGATGCAGAAATTCACACCTAGCATGGCTTGCCCCGAGTAATTCATTGTGTTGAGCGAGATTTCAACACACATTGGGGTAGTATTTCCTTGCCCTAAAACCCTTACATAAATGAGACGGAAGTATATAAGGTGTAACTTTACATTTAACTAACAGGAATTACTCTATTTGAGCCAGCCTAGCTCTTTGAGAAATTCTAATGTTTTAATGTCACCAAAGATCCTGAGAGCAACCCCAGTATACCGAAGTACTTAGCCCAGTTTCCTTGAGGCTAATAAAGATTTAAAGAATATCTAAAAAAATCGTTAATTTAATAACCATGTTTTATTTACAGTCGCAAATTCATCAACTGCCAAATTTTTCTGTTACCCATAATGATTTGAAAGTTAAGAGACATCTAATACATTTCTTTCTTGATTAAAACTCATTTCTGTCTATATAAGAAAAAATAAGAAAAATTATATAGCTACCCTCAGAACTGTCAGACTCCTCATTGTTGCTGTCTTCATCATTTGACTTCACTTCATCCAGCACCTTAAACTCCCTCAACTTTTCTAATTCTTCCGGTGTCACAAAATTTGAATACTTGTCTTCAACAACAAACTTTCCTTCAAAATCTAAGTTATCTTGGGAAAAATCAACATCTGATTCATTTTTAAATATTTGTTGTTGTTCATTCATCCTCGGACGTTTTGGTGGCGGTTGTTCCACATCACTGTTTTCAGCTTCCATTTTACCTACCTAAAAATATTTATAGCTGATATGGAAAACAAATATTCATTTATATCTGAACACTTATAAAACAAGTGGTAAAATAAAAACAAATTGTACAACCGACTTCAATATAAATAAAATGAAAACATCATCAATGTAATCTAAGTCAATTAAATAGGCATTAATAGAATAGAATATAATAGAATAATTTTTTATTCAATATAGATTACACGTAATTCTTATTGAAAGTCAATTTTTTACTCTACCACTGGATCGAAAAAAACCTTGGTCCTGGAAGATCCAGCAAGAAAGAGTTTTTGTTTAATTAAATGTTTAAACTTGATAATAGAGAGACCTTGTATATTTTCTGGGACTTTGTTGTAATATCGTATACATTGCCCCAAGAATGAATTACTGCCTCTGTGGAGTCGAGAAACTGGTAGCATCAGTAGCTTGTGTTTGTTCATAGTGTTTACAGAGTGTATGTCACGTTTTTAACTAAAACTACCTTTGTTTTTGTGAAGATACATCAAATTTTCATAGATATACTGAGAGGCCAAAGTTAATATATTATTTATTTCTTTAAATTTTTCTCTAAGAGACTCTCTCGGTTTGAGGTTGTAAATAGCTCTAATGACCCTCTTCGGCAAAACAAAAACAGTTTCTAAATCAGCCGCATTCCCCCATACCAAATTCCAATATGACATTATGCTATGGAAATAACTGAAATAAACTAGTCTAGCTATCTCGACACTAGTGAGACCTCTAATATTTTTACAGCATAAGCTGCAGAGCTTAGTCTGCTTGCTAGTTTAGATATATGGTGGCCCCACTGAAGCTTAGCGTCGAGAGTGATGCCAAGAAAAACAGAGGATTCAACAAGACTCAGGTCTTCCCCATTTAAAAACACATTGGTACTCGGATTATTAACATTTGTTGTTGTAAATTTAATACATTTAGTTTTATTGCCGTTTAAATGTAGATTATTAACGTTAAACCAATGCACTAATTTCGATATAGCATTATTCACTTCGTAACATTTAAATGATTGACGTTTAAGTTTAAAAATCAAGAAAGTATCATCAGCAAATAATACTATATCAGGATTATCCCCTACAGAGGAAGGTAAGTTATTAATATACACTAAAAATAAGAATGGGCCAGAAATTGGAAGGGAGGAAGGAAGGCCAGGAAGCCCTATATATGGACATTTCGAAGGCTTTCGATTTTGTCAGGCATGACTTGTTAATTATAAAAAATAAATACGGTGTAAGAGGCAAGACACTTGATCTTATAAAATCCTACTTAACAAACAGGATTCAAATTACTCAATTATCACGGATTTGTCCAAAGACTAAAAATGAATATATTTATTGGTCCTATCCTCGATCCCCAAATTTTGGTGTTCCTCAAGGAAGCGTACTTGGTCCTTTATTGTTTTTAGTATATATTAATGATTTACCTAACAGCGTAAGCTTTCTTATGACTCTATTTGCAGTCATCTGCAAATAGAGTTAGCTCTATGGTGTTTACATGTACAGACATAAATAATTATGAAAATGAAATTAATAACAGCCTGAAGAGTATAATTAGCTGGCTTAAGTCAAATAATTTAATAATAAACTTAAAAAAGACTCAAGTAATGAATTTTTATCAACGAAAATGGCCTCTTGATTTACTTAACATTAATTACGATGGTGAGACGGTTAGTGAAACCAAAGCAGCAAAATTCTTAGGTCTTTATATTGACAACAACTTAAAGTGGTTAACAGAATATAATATAAGTTAACAGAATATATTTGCAAAAAGTTAAACCAATTTTCATACGCTTTACATGTATTATCCAAAGTTAATGAATATGCTTTACGGACGGTATATCACGGCTTCGTATCTTCTACTGTGCGCTACGGTATAATTTTTTGGGGCAATGCTACAAGGCGCGAAGATATATATAAGCACAAAAAAAGTGTGTGCGTGCTATTGCAAGTATATCGAGTACAGAAAGCTGTAAACCACAATTTAAAAAATTTAAGTTATTGACATTTCCCGCAATGTCTTTTATTTATTAAATTTCTTCATAAATATTATGAAGTTGTAACATTTGTAAAAACTAATCCCGAAATATTTAATGATTACCTAATAACGAACAATCGACGTAAAAATAAAATTCATACAATTTCATCAAAGACAGATTTACTTAGAAAAAGCATTTTCGGTATATTATCTAAAATCTATAATAAGGTTCCATCTATGTTTCATGAAATGGAAAATATTCATAAATTTAAAAAATAATTTAGAACATTTCTAATTGAGAAATGCTACTACTCAATCGATGAATATTTAAGTGACGCATCAGTAGGCATATTATAAGGACATTGCATAAAATATAATTCATTTGACTTGTGATTAGACAATATATTATTGTAAATATCCCATTCTAATTAATTATTACATCATTGTTGAATTTTCTCATATAATTATAATATAAATAATAAAATGAAATAATTGTGGAAATGTAATATATTTAATTGTAACTGTAATATTTGTATACCTATGGGTTGAATGCAGCGAACATAGTATTTATATAACATATACATATAAGATCTATTCTGTCTCATTACCTGTATTCACAAATAAATAAATTTGAATTTGAATTGAGCCCTGAGGGACACCCATCTGAACTGAAGAACTGAAGAACTTTTACCATTGATAACAACTTTCTGCACTCAATTACTTAAATATGAAATAACTAGTTTAAACGCTGTGTTCTTTACACCATAGTACTGTAGCTTCCTGATTAATGTCTCATGGTGAACACAGTTGAAGATCTTGGAAAGGTCACAAAATATACCCAAAGCATCCTCCGGCATCGGTTGTCGAGCGACCCCTTGTAAAATCAAATCGACTTGTACGGAGCAATTTATTTTTATTAAAAAAATTTTTATAAAAAAATTATCATCTGATGTAAAACAATTTTTTCAAAAATTTTACTTAATGTTGGTAGTACATAAATTGGTCTAAAATTGGCGGGGTCTGATGTACTACCAGATTTTAATAAAGGTAAAATTTACTATGTTTCATTAAATCAGAACACAAACCAGATTCGACGATTGTATTATAAATAGTGGCTAGATAAGGTGCTATTGTATCTATTACGGATGCAATAACTTTAAAGGAATAAGTCTACCGTTTTCTTAACATCATTAGTTTTAAAATATTTAATGATATCTTTTGGCAATACTCTATGGAATTTAAAAATATTTGAAAAAGTCTTTACATTTTGTTTAAGCAATGATTCGGAGATAGTAGGAGAAGAATTTAATGATTTTGTTGTCCAAAAAAGAACATCAGTAAAATGTTTCTTAATTATTACATATTATTAAGGATAACTCTAAAACTACTGGTCAGATCTTTATCAAATTAATATAGACCACACGAGAAGCACCAGCTTAAAGAATTAATAAAATCGGTTCACCCAGAAAAAGGTTTTGAGATAACACACATAAAAATACAAATGAATACGATACGATGATAGAAAATGATATTGAACAAATATAAAGACACCTTGTGACTATCCAAGGAGCAACTACGATTCCACTTTAATTTTGCTTATGAGAAAATAATTTCTTTAAATATTGCAGGTGTCTCTACTTGCATAATAAACTGGTTTATAACCAGGCTACATGGTATCAACATCATTTGATAAGTACAATCTTCAGCTGAATCCCAAACAAGTGTCAATTTTTAACTTGTTAGAACCTACTTAATCAGACTTATCTCTATTTAGATTTATCTCTTTCCCTTCGATTGTAACTTTCACTTAAGAAAGGAAGCATAACTTTTCATACAAAGAATCGCCGAATTCTCAATGCGCTATGTGTTCAGTACAACAATGGATTCAGGATGTCGTTGGGGCTGCCACGCTTTTGCAGCGCATCGCGTATGTTTTCTGAGGCACGCGTGGACAGTTTTGCAACAATATTACGCAAAAAGCAAAAGCCTCCTTAATGCGTCGCGTGCGAGACAGCAGCAACGGCCTCCTAGCTTCCATATATGGAAGGCAAGATTGCCCTGTGATGAGGTACTGGAACACAGTGCATATGGGTTCCAGACCCAATATGTTTAATAATAAATAATAATTTTTGTGTAGTAATAATTTATGTATTTTGTGAATTTACTAACCCCTAGTTTTTAAGTTTTAAGTGTACTAACAAAATGGGTACTTACCTGAATAATGAAATAAAAATAAATAAATAAAGAAAAAAGAAAGGAAGCAGAATCTATTAATTATATTAATCATTATGTTCATATATATACATTAATCATTATATCACCATAAATGGTGAAGTTCCTAAAGGAAGTGAATCCGCGACTGGCCATTGCTGCTGGTGATAGGAGGACTAACTCTTTTCTCACTCAGCAACTATAGCTATTCAACAAGAAAACGCATCCAGCATTTTAGCACTACACTGCAGGGAATAGCACTATATGTTTGGTTTTTTGTTATAGTAATAAATATTGTATATATTATTTAAGTTTATGTCCAATACATTTTTGAATAAATTGAAGTATCCCAATATATCAAATACAATGAAATAGATAGCACTTCCAAATAAAAATCACACTAATATAGATTAATATGTGCAAGTATAAATTAATAACAAAAACATTTCTTGTGTTTAAATATTATATATACAATAAATGTGTGTTAAATCAATTACATAAAGAATAAAAAGCTTCAAAATTTCTTTTATCTGTAGCAAAAAAAAATATTCTATTATATTTTTCCAACATCTTAAACTGTAAGACTGAAAGATTGAACAGTCTGACAAAAATGTTTAGGCGGCAAAACGCGTAACTACCTACATACTTTCTACCTAAGAAATCTGTCAATCCACTTTTTCTGGCCAACTCGGCAATGTGTGGCTTGTCACTGCTCAGGGTTGTCTGAGAGTCACTAACAACGCTCTCATTTACTCTATAATTTTTTTGTCGTGTTATATTTTCCTAAAATAAAA